TCTTTAAACATGTTTGAGGGAAATATTCCTGAGAGATTCAATAATTTAGTCTTTTTATGATTTTTCTACTGAGTTAACTTTAAAATATTATTTAATAAAGTCATTAAAGTGACAACAGGATTTCATGATAAAGCTGGCACTGTTTGTTTATTCATTTATTTCATCTTCACTGATTTAAAAAAAAAGGATTTTCTTTTTTTTATACATAAAATGTTTTTAAAAATCATTTCCACCCTCCGTCCCAAATCTGTCCCAGCCCGCCCCTGTCTGCTGGGGCTCAGGGTCCGGCCTTCAGGAGCGCGCGAGACGCCTCGCGCTCCTGCGGCTCGGCAGCACAGAGGATCTTCCGCGGTGTCCAGCAGAGCTCAGAGCGGGGGGAGATGACACCCTGCCCAGCCTGAAGGGACTCTGAGGCTCCGGTGGAGAGGACCAGTGGGACCGACGGAGCTCCATCTAGCTCGCTCTGCATTTTATCATCGGCCAACAAGCACAAAAAACACCTGCACTTCAGCATTAGACTGTGGTGTTGTCATTATTGTTTTTAAAATCTTAAAAATAGATCCAGTTGCTCCTTGAGTTCGAGTTATTGTAATTGGCGGATCGGGTTTTGAAAGTTTCTCAACTAACCAGTGACTCTACCCCCTGACCAATCAGTGACCAACAGTGTTTTGACGTCACGTTTTAGTGCCGGTTTGGCACGATTGGAATCCCAGAGAAAATGGAACTGGTTCCACAAACCATTACTAGTGGAAAAGCCTTGGAACCATGCCGAGTCAAGTCGAACCGTGCTGTACCGTTAATAATGGAAAAGGGCATATGAAGCTGGAGAAATCCAGTTTCGTACATTTTCTACATCAAAATCTCAGCTAAACTATCCAAACACTTTGCTGACTATTTGAACATTAAAAAGAAAAATGTCCATCCTGAGTGTGGATGGCTTTGAAAACAGAATTTGTTAGTTTAGAAATGTCTTATTCAAAGATTTTGAACACATCTGTTGTGTTGACTGTGTTAGCAAGGTTTGCATTTCTCACAAATTTTGCTAAAATCTTAATCCAACCAGCTGAAAATCCACCTAATATAATACACACTGGGTAGCATAATGACTTCGCAGATAGCACTGTTGCCTCATAACTCTGTAATCTCAACGAGTTGCCTGGTTAAATAAGAACAATGAAATAATATACAGTAACTGTTCAGTTACATATAAGTACTTATATATGTTGGTTTCATGTACTACTTCATCAAAAGCACTCATTGTTCTGCAAGCACCAGGTCGTGTGTCACAGAGTGTCTTGTTATAAAAATATTTTAGAGCCTCCGAGTCAAATTACCGGTATTGAGTTAAGATTACCGCTCTTCATCAACACCAGATTACAGCTCAGACTGGGCCAACCTGCTCCTGCAGTATTCAAGGCATTTTCTTCATTGTTTCCATGTTTTCATCTGCACCACTTTGCTTTTTAAATATAACCTTCTACTGAGAAAAACCAACAGAGCTACATAAACCTAACTGACCTCACCGGATGTGCAATTTCATTCTTTTACCTTCTGCTGCTGAACACAGAGAGACAGTGAAACTGGATGCTGCTTGTTTAAATACAGAAAACACTTCTGTGTGTGTGCCTTTTTTGGGGAATTTCTGTGTTGAAAAGAAACTTCCATATTGAAATCTAAAGCTGTGTAGAAAACGTGTTCTGGAAACATTTAGGGCTGGACGTGCATGTGGCAGAAACGTGGAGGGACAACGACTGCTGTGAGTGCAGGTTAGAAATGGACTCCTGCTGCTTAATAGCAGTAAAAAGAACAAAAACAGAAGCAGCAGCAACAAACAGGAATATTTCAGATTCTATTTTTAGAGTGAGAGTGAGGCGTTTCACCATTCCAGCCTCAGCGTGTGTGGGACTCACAGGGGAGGCATGCAAATGCATCAGCGTGGATATAAGTCTGTGCAGCACAACGTCATGCAGGATCTTTTTGTCCTTTTAACCAAACTGAGCAAACATATACTCTCAAAAAAAGATCAGTCCATTATTTGCATAACAGATCAAACTGAACCGCATTCATTCCTCAGCTCAAAGTCTAAAACATCCTCCTTCAAGCTTTCTATTTTTAACAATCGCTGCCACCACTACACCAGCTGGATGCAAGAACATCATCATTCATTCATCCACTGAGCAACAACCTGGCTCCCAGGCTCACTTTCATTCTGCACGTTTCAAACATTATTACTTTCTACGACCTTATCGCAGAGAATTGCATTGATTAGCCATGCAGCTCTGCATCAGCGGCCTTTAATTGCGTTTACTTTGTGTTGCTTCACAAAGCGTGCGACTCTGCATGATTGCAGCTAAACTGCAATCACCCAGCTCCAGCAAGCATCGAGCAGGAAGGCGTAATGGTGGTTCAAGGTAAATCAATGCTTTTGTGGGCTTTAAGCAGAGTTTAATCAGCTGATATGCGCATAACATGTTGCTGATCAACATGAATTAGTTATCTTCAATGCAGATTACATAATCCCACTGTTTTTACCCCTTATAACTCATTTTAGAGGTAATAAAGCCTCGGTCTCTGTCTTTCTTTGACTTACAGCAACAATCTATACTGTCAGTGGAACAAATCGGGCTATAAAGGTATTACAACAAATATAAGAGTCTTTTTTAAAACTGACTTGAAAATGAAGACAAATGAGACATTGTGTAGGAAGTAATACTTTCACTACTATAGTTCTGTCTACAGGACACAATGATACTATAAGAATGTGAAAGTTTAACAGGCTGAGTGTAAAACATTTAGTCATTTTCCTCTCTGTAGCCCCCGTTCAGGCTTTAAATGTAATATAACACAACAAAATTAATATGAGTACAACTGTGATTGTCGTTTTTGATTCATCCCATTCAGTTTTTAATCAGTTAATGGTGTAAAAAATAGCTCTTTGAACAACCTCAGTTTGGAGAAATCAAAGTTAATATCGACAGCTTTTAGAAGGAATACAAAAGAGAATTGCTGCTGTCTCATATCAGCTTCAATGCTGCCGGGCAGTCGCAGCGGTCTGCTTGGGTACCTCAGCTCATGGTTTCATTTATTTTGCTTGTTTTGGTTTAATAAAAACACATTATTTGTGTCTTCAAACCTGTGTTTCCTGGATTTCGTCATGGGTTTAGAGCCAGGTCCCAACAGCAGTTCATGCACTTTTTCATAAACCTTTACACGCTTTTCAGTTTAATATCACAGTCATTTACATTGTTTTTGTGACCATCAGTATCAGGATTCATCTGGTTTTAAAATGCTGAAACTGTCTGAAATTCAGTGGGAAACCCTCAGGGACTTCAATGTGTTCAGAGAAGGCCTTTGAATTCAGCACAGTTTAAATGTTCCGTTCAGATTTTTATTTAAAAGTTTATATAAATTATATATTTTCTATGTTTCTTTTCTTTTTTTTATTTGTGCTAATTTGTCTTTTTTTTTCTTCAGTAAACTACTTTGCAGTTCCAGCTGTAGTTTTTAATTCATGAAAATACAGTTAACCAATCAGATTATAATTTTTTTTTGTCAGCGGGCTTGGGTTTTGTCATTGGTTAGGACTTCAATGTCAGGAGAGAGGGCAGAGCTGAGTCAAAGTCTCCGCAGGATGAATCTGTTTAAAAACTGACGAGAAAATTAACCAATCACAATATAAATGAAGAGTGGGTGGGGCCAAAACACTGGGCTCTGAGCCTTCGGGAAGGCCTTGGAGGCATTTTTTGGCCATGTGAAAATTTGTGATGAAAATCTACACAATTGTAGTTTGTTCCAAAAAAAAACCAATGATAAAATATCCCATTTAGGTTTACATTAATAATTTTCAATACTACAGTTGCATTTTAGTGTCATTACATGATGAAATTTTATAGAAACTGTATTGTTAAATTTCAGGCAGGACATTTTGAATGTAAGTGAGTGAGCCACATTTCTTGCTGGGATGACACAGGAACGGGTGGATTTGTTCAGGCTCTGTGGATTGTCCCTGTTGGTTGTTCTGTTTAGTTTTGGGTAGGCATTTAATTTAAGTTTAGGTTGTTGTTAATGACTGTAACGTATATATATATGACACTATATAAGTCACACGTCTTATGTGATGTATAAAAAGGGAGTGAGCACTTCCTGTCCAGGAATGTCCTGTCTTCCTGTATTCGGACCGTGTCTCTGTAGTAGCGTCTTTGACTTTAGCATTTATCAGGTTGCTGAAATATTATAGCTGAAGGCCCAGCTGTATATTTACAGTGTGAACATTGAAACTAAATTCAAACCTTCATTCAAAGTGAAAATGTTTCATTTTAGTTGAAAGGAGCGTAGACAACACTACTGTCTTACCGGAAAGTAGAGAAGCAGAGCGCCACACAGAATGGCCTCCAGCAGGATGACACCTGATGCTCTGATGCTCTGCAAAACATAACAAAACAAAAAGCTGCAGTTCATAAACTTGTCACCTTCATTTAATAAGATGTGTCAGATTTTGTCTGCTGGCAGGACAAACTCTAACTCAACAGTGGCAAACTATCTGCACAATTTATCACACTGTACTTTTGGCCTCTTTTGCCTATTTAATCTACAGTAACATTTCTTTGGAAAGAACCAAAGGCCTCCATTAGAACACAGTTTAAGTTTTTAACTAACTTAAAAAAGGTGTATTGTTTTTTTGTTTGTTTTGTTTTTTCTTTCATGCAGTTCATATACCCTGATGTATGCTCAATAACCAAAATCTAACAAAGTTAGGCAGGTCCTATGGACAGATTCTTCTTCTTGAAACATTTAGTCTTTTATCCAAAAGTCTTTGTCAGTCTGAAGAGCTGTGATACACTCAGTCTTATAAATAGCACCTTCTCAGCAGATCAACCGGTTTGCTGGTGACAGCCAGAACTAGTAGTTCAGATGATAAAGTAGGACCATCAGCCTAATGACTGATCATTAGTGCCCTGATGGATGTTTGCTATTCACAGAAAGCTGAGTGATACTAGCATATACATGAACATTAAATCATGAAACAAGCACCCTGCAGATGTTGGACACGGTCTATCATGGTGCGCTAAAATTCATAACTGGCTGTAACTATTGTGCCCACCAGTGCACCCTGTATTCACTGGTTAAATGGACATCCTTACCTTCACACAGATTCTCTCACTGGTACATTTTCATCTTTAAATCACTTATTGATCTGCTGCCTTCATACATCTCCTCCTACATGTCTCTGCATGAGTGCAGCTACAGCGTGCGCTCTCAAGACATTATTACATGCAGTGCCCCCTCAGTGAGGACTGAACTAGGCAAAAGGGCCTTCTTCTGACTCCTCACAGACTCCTCACAGTATGCATTTAATAACATGTCTTAAATGCAAATCAAGAATTTGTTGAACGCACACTTGTGTTTTTGTTTGTTTGTTTGTAATTACTTGTTTGATTGTGATCTTAATAGGACACACTAGTTAGTGTCGAAGGAGCTTATTTGGTCTTGATCCGAAAAGAAAACAGTAATTCAATAGTTTTATTGAGAGAACCACAATAAAAAGCAATTATTTAATTTGTGGCAGACTGAAACCAACATCATAAAAATGCAAAAAATAGATAAAAATGACTGAACGACTTAGTAAAAAACTCACAGAATTATTATCTTTTTGATATTGTTCTTTTTCCCTGCACTTTTTGGGAATGCAGAAAGTTGTCCCAACAATGTACCATAAAAAGAATAAATAAACGTGTTTTAGGAAAGAGAAAGGGATAGTTTATCAAAGAAGTACATTTTTTATGTAAAATTACAAAGAGAATGTTTTAGAAAATTTAACAGGAAAAAAAATATATATATATTTTTTTTAAAGAATGAGGAGGAAGACGAAAATCAAAAAATAAACCACATTCAAGCGCTACATCTGTATATTACATCTGTGTTAGCTCTAATTCATTTGAGGATTTTTTTCTAAAATCTTCCAATTTAACAAAATATAGGTGCATATAAAGATCCCTACCTTATTCCTCCGAAAGTGGTATATGAGCACCATGCTGATGAAGACGATCAGCATGCAGAGGCACTGGAAGGAGAGCACAACCAAGCGAAGAATGCCCTCCTCTAACACCACACAGGGGGTGTCATCCTTGCAGTAGGCACAGTTCTTCACACAGGGCATGCAGTCCATGGAGGAACCCTCATCTGAGCTGCGACCACCGCCTGCAGCTTTCCCCTTCCTCACAAATTCTGTTGAAGAGGATAAGCATTTCTGAGAATGAAACAACTCACAGTCCAGTGGGTTGTGAAATATTTTATTAACAGACAGACGCGCACACCCACAGACACAGGCAAAAATATTATCACCTGCCTATCTCCCTTTTATACGATGGAGCTTTAGGGCCACGCTGAGAAAAAAAATAATTAAAAGCCATAAAATTACGATTCAATTCAATTCAGTTTATTTATATAGCGCCAAATCACAACAAAGTTGTCTCAGGGCACTTTACAGGAACATTCACATACATAAAAGCCAATTAGTAAAGTTCTCCAACTAAGGAATCCAGCAGACAAGTTGAATCTTGGCTTCGTTGCCGTCTCCCATCCTGAGCAAGCACAGTGGCAACAGTGGAAAGGAAAAACTCCCTTTTAAAAGGAAGAAACCTCCAGCAGAACCAGGCTCAGGACAAGCGGCCATCTGCTTTGAGCGGCTGAGAATAAAGTCGTACAAGACTTCTTTTTTTTTTACAGCTCTCGTTTATTTTTTTAATTTTTTTTCCACAAGTCGAATCCACGACGCGACCTGTCAATCAATCCAGTAGGCATGTGAGCAAATTACCAATCCGAAGCTAAATGCTCATTACCTGCAGGATTGTGCTACCTTACTGTAAGCAGGTTCAAAGTCCTGATACTGATAATAATCTGATGCAGATGTGCTAACCGATTAATTAGCTCCTTATTTGTAAAATCAATACCAAAGTATAATTGAACAAGATGCTCAACATTCTTCATTTTACCACAGTTAAATGCAGTAAACCTGCTTTATGTGTCGGAGTTCAGGTAATATTACGACTCATTTATTGGTCATTTGCTGACATGCCTACTAGATTGATTGACAGGTTGCATTGTGGATTCGACTTGTGGAAAAAAATTAATTAATAAATGAGAGCTGTAAAAAAAAAACTCGTACGACTTTATTCTTGTAATATTACGACTTTATTGAACTTTATTCTCATAATACTACAACTTTATTCTCGTAATTTTGTGGCTTTTAATTAGTTTTTTCTTAGCGTGGCCCTAAAGCTCCGTCGTACTTTTAAACTAACACATCCATGTTTAATTTTAATATCCATGATATATATACATCTGCATATTTTTAAAGTTAAAAATGACTCATTCAGTTTATGGTGAAGTTTAAGTGATTATTGACAGGAAATGACTTGACAGTGTTTAGCAAATAATAGTTTTTAGCTAATTAAATAGTTTATTGATCACTGTTGATTTTTTTCTGTTGTTGTAAAGGGACAAATCCCAGATCAACACTGTCTGAATACAATCATCCTTCTTTGACCTTTAAATAAGTCACTGACATCTCGTCAGCACAGGAGAAACAAATCTATATGTGTAAACATGAAAAGTCAACAGGCGGCACTTTGTTCAGTCACTGTGCACAAGGCATGAAGGCCTTATCAAAACCACACAGAGGCTTGCCAGCATCGTGTTTAACAATATCCAGGAGAGGACATTAAACTATTCAGGAATTACCACTAAGACACCAACCAATGCTGTTGTTTTTCTTTTAGCTGCTCCTTTCTGCAGGATTCGACACAACGAGCGAACATGAATGAAAGATTTGTATATTTTTACACCTGATGCCCTTCCTAAGCTTGAACCTGCAGCCTCAGGATTTTGAAACACTGACCACTGAGCTACTGCAGCCCATAGACAGCAGCCAATAATGGCTGCAAAAGTGGGTTCTTTTAGTGCCAAAATAGGGAAAACTTGGACAGAAAGCATGTGCTTTGATTGCTCAGAGGAAAAAAAATTGTACAAGAATAAAGTGAGTTAAAAACCCAAAATAGGACAAATATCAACAGTACTGTTTACTGGTTTGTATAGAAATCCCTGGAGAGATGTCCATATGGCTGAATAGATAACAGATTTTGGACTTACGCAGCTTTTACGTTGGATTTTTTTTTAAAGAAGCCATTGTTTTTGAGATTTACAGGGATTTTGTTTTTCAAAAGAACTGGCCTATTTTTTAAATCTATGACTCTGCACATCATTGATCCCTTCAAAAAGACTACTTACAGTCTTTATGGAAAAGAGACACATTTAGATCATTCTTATTGGCTTCTTGTTACAGAGTTTGAGTGAATGTTGAGAAGATCCATGGTGAAACAATTTAGTGAAAAAGAAAATCAAGCAGAACTGGTTTACATTGCAAAGGATTACCAGGCCTGTTATTGGCCCCATAGTGGGCCACAATACAGTGTCGTGTGTCACTGACCAGCTTCCTTCACATTTCTATTGTGCTCTAAAAAAAGACACATTTATTTAAACGTGGACATGTTTATGCCAACAACAAATTCTTTGAAAGAGTGACGTCTGAGCTCTTTATGTGTCTATGACATAAGAACTTTCAAAAGAACAAAGAGCACAGTTGTGTGGAGCAAAGTCTGAGTGAAGTTTAGGGGAAAAAATGGGAATTAAAAAAATTAAAAAACAGTTTCAAGGCATATTCCGGAGTACCAGAGGGCCAAGTGGTCCGCAGCCTTGGCTGTTGCTGAGGTAAAAGCTCGGATGTGGGAGGAGTTCTGTGAGGTCTTGGATAGAGACTCTTAGTCAGCTCCGAGGAGATTCTGGCAAATCATCAGGCAGCTGAGGAGGAGAAAACAGCACTTTACCAACACTGTGTTCAGTGAAGGTGGGGTGCTTTGACCTCAACCAGTGATGTTGTCAGGAGGTGGAAGTAATATTTCTCTGACCATCTCAATCCCAACAGCATGTCTTCTATGGAGGAAACTGAGACAGGATTTCGAAGTTGGTCTGTCCATAACCGTGGCTGAGGTCATCAAGGTAGTTAAAAAGATCAGAGGCGGCAGGGCTTTGGGAGTGGATGAGATTCGCCCTGAATTCCTTAAGATTCTGGATGTTGTAGGGCAGTCTTGGTTGACACGACTTTGCAACATCCCATGGACATTATTGGGGCAGTGCCACTGGATTGGCAGACTGAGGTGGTGGTTCTCCTCTTCAAAAAGGGGACAGGAGGTTGTGCTATAATTACAGGGGAATCACTCTCCTTAGCTCCCCTGGTAAGGTCTATTCTGGGGTACTGGAGAAGAGAATCTGATCATTGGTCGAAACGCAGATTCAGGAGGAACAATGCAGGTTCCATCCTGGCCGTGGAACACTGGATCCGTTCTTTACCTTAGAATAGCTGTGAAAAGCTAAAACTATTAAAATACCAACAGATCTGCTATCACTAGGGTCATGGGAGTTTGCCCATCCAGTCTACATATGTTTTGTGGACTTGGAGAAGGTGTTTGACCGTGTTTCTCGAGGTACACTGTGGGGGGTGCTCTTTGAGTATGGGATTGGGAGCCCGTTGCTACCAGATGCTCAGTCTCTATACAAGCAGTGCAAGAGTTTGGTTCATATTGCCAGTAAGTCAGACCCATTCAGGATGAGAGTTGGCTTCCGCCAGGGCTGCCCGTTGTCACTGATTCTGTTCATAACTTTTATGGACAGAATTTCTCGGTGCAGCCAGGGGGCGGAGGGATTCCATCTCTGCTATTTGCAGATGAAGTGGTTCTGTTGGTGTCATTGTGCTGTGAGCTTCAGCTCTCAATGGAACGGTTTGCAGCTGGGATGAGAATCAGCACCTCCGAATCTGAGGCCATGGTCCTCAGTCAGAAAAGGGTGGATTGCTCTCTTGAGAGTGAGGTTCTGCCTCAAGTGGAGGAGTTCAAGTATCTTGGTGTTTTGTTCACGAATGAGGAAAGAATGGAGTGTGAGATTGACAGATGGATTGGTGCGGCATCTGCCGTATTGCGGACTCTGTGCCGGTCCATTTTGGTGAAGAGGGAGCTGAGCTGTAAGGCAAAGCTCTCTCTTTATTCTACGTTCCTACCCTCACCTACAGTCATGAGCTCTGGGTAGTGACCAAAATAACAAAATCACTTAGAGAGAGGGTGAGAAGTTCAGTTATCTGGGACAGACTCGGAGTAGAACCACTGCTCGTCCACATCGAGAAGAGTCAGTTGAGGTGTTTCTGGCTGGAACCAGCTCAACCAGGATGCTCCCTAGGTGCCTCCCTAGGAAGGTGCTTCAGGCATGTCCAACTGGGAGGAGACCCCGGGAAGACCCAGGACACGCTGGAGAGACTATATCTCTCTGTTGGCCTAGAAAAGCCTTAGAGTCCTCCCAGAAGAGCTGGAAGAGGTGGTTGTGGAAAAAGATGTCTGGGCCTTCCTGCTCAAGCTGCTGCCCCCATGACCCGACTTCAGAACAAGCAGAAGATAATGAATGGATGGATGGATACACGGCAGCTATGCTTCCTGTAAAAAGCTAGCTGCCATGTGATCTTGTGAACAAAAATGATAAATTAATGCAAAAAGAAACACCAGAATTGTACATTTATAATCTATGAATATAAAGACAACTTGTATTTAATGTATTTTGCTATAAAATGTCTATGTTTATCCAAAATTCTTACAAGCACACAACTATTTCATTATTGTGTTCATTGCTTTTGGTAACTGGCTCCAAAAATACAAAGTTAGATTTTGACTTTATGTTAGGACAAATATATTAACACCTAAATGTATTAGGGCTAATAAATTGAAGGGATAAAAACTTTTACCACTTTTCCTGGATTTGTCTTTCAGAAGAGCTTACTCAGCGAGAAACATTTGACTCCTCCAGATCACTTTCAAAGCAAGTCAGAATAAGGAGTACATGTGAAGCACGCTGAAAGATTTAGCTTTTCCCTCAGAAACCAGCAGAAAGTGATTTAAGACCACAAAAAGCAAATTAAAGTATAAAATTTAACTTGGGTTTGAATTTATGAGCAGCTTTAATTTAATTTGTTGCATCAGGAACATGCTGAACACAATTGGTTATAAGAGTAACAGAAATGCTGATCAACAGGAAATATGATTATTAGACAAAACTCATCAATTCATCTGTGTGAATGATATTAAAAATATCACAGTTCCTTTGATTTTGACATTAACAATACTGAGTTAGGTAAAAACATTCAGCATCCCAAAGTCAACCTGTATAAACTTTGGTAATCATGTTGTGAAAAATAAAGTTTTTATGGATTCAAGAGATAAAGTAGTGGAAGAAACAAAGCTTGAGGTGAATATAAAATGTAAATCAGGTCAAAACTCCACTATCTGCAAAGCTGGCTGACCTCACGCAAAGAAGAGCAGTGGCCACTTGTTAAAAAGAGGAGGAAAAATTAAGAATAACTGCAAAAAGATAAAACTATAAAAATACAAAAAGATCTGCCATTTTCATTGCCCCAAGTCATTTGACACTTTTAATGTTTACTTGATGCATATAGTGAATATAGTACGAATGACAATAAAGAAACATTGACCTTAACTTTGATGTAGGTTAAATTGTGCTGTTTGTTAAAGTTCAAAGTAATGAGTCATTTCACTCATTTTAATAAACCTAAATGTTATTTATAAATTGAAGTAAAATAAATAAGATTAACAAAATTAAAGAAGTAGATAAGTTTAAAATTACGTAAGATTAAAATGGTTACATTTTTATTATTTAAGCATTTTTTTTCTTACCTTTCAAAGTAAAAGTTCAGATCTTTTGAGGTGAGATTCTGTGGAAAGGTAATGTCCAATAATTATCTTACAAACTAGATGTTAGTTTGCCAATCTGGACAAAATTAAACTTGTTCTCTAAAATGAGGCCATAGATGGAGCTATCTACAACAGGTAAGATATTATTTGTTCAAAACCTTCCCACTGAATCACACATTAAAAGGTCTGAATGACTTCTTAACACCTAATTTATGTTTTTGTAATGTTCTTTGTTTTGTACTGATGTGATTTTAACACTAAACAAATATTGAAACATATAAAATGGTTCATATTAAAACTGTTAATCACAACAATGTTCAGTCAGGTCATCTGTACAGTTTCTTTTGTTGCTGAGATGTTTTGTCCTTCATCCAAAGGACTTCTTTTTCCACTCTGGGAGTGAGCTGTTTGTGGGATTCAGTTTGGTTTGGTGGCTCCTCAGACTGAAGAAGTCCTTTGGATGAAGGACAAAACATCTCAGCAACAAAAGAAACCGTCCAGATGACACGACTGAACGTTGTTGGATTTATACCTGGATTAATGAGCATGAACGTTGGTGTTTTAATCACATATTTAAACTAATTTACTACTTGTTTTTTCATTTATTTGCACATGCACATTTCTTTGAGTTTATCCTAGAAAAAAAATGAACATCAGTTTTCACTGTCATGCTATTTTTAAATGGTATTTATTCAACTATAAGCTCCATCCAGAGATGATGGTCTTTGCGGTCATCTTCAGTCAAATGTTTTATTAACATTTGTTGCTCAAGATGCTGTTTGGAGTCAAACCCTGCGTCTGCAATTGCAAATTTATACCATTTTAAAGGATTAATAGCAGTATTTATTTATTAACCTTTATTTAACCAGACAAACCCCATTGAGATCACATGTCTCTTCTGCAAGGGAAGCCTGGGCCTGAAGGCAGACTAACATGCATGTTTTTGGTAAATAATGGTCAACAATAACTTAATATTTTGTGAAAATGATAAACCAGATATGTTTATTACCTCACTAACGTAAAAAAAAAAAATACATTTTTAAACAGAAAATGATGGCTTCATTGAAACATTTTGTTTTAAATATGGTCAGGCTGTTACTTAATAGTTTTAATTATATTACGTTGCCATTTTAGCTTGTACTAAAGCACTAATGTTTGAACTGTTATGTACATACATTTGGCTAATAGCAGTTTCTTCCATATCCATTTCACCACGAAAGGTTTTCAATGGTAAAATGTTTCATTCTCACATATTAGACATGTATGAAGGTTTATCTTTAAAGTCAGCAAGTCACCAAAGTTTTCGTGCAGACATGTCAACTTGTAGTTTGACTTGTGACTTACGTGTGAAGCCATTGACTGCGACTCTGCTGGGGTGGTAGAAGCCTTTTTTGCAGCTGCACTGGTACTTGCCCAAAACAAATCCATGACCGCGGAGAGGCAAACACTGTGAGCACAAGAACACACACCAAAGTACTGAATTTAACTTAAAGTAAAATAAGTTTAACCATTTTTAAAACTGCGTTATGCCTAAAAGTGTTTGAAAATATGTTGAAATATGTCAAAACTAATCCAGAGGCCCATAGGCGTTGCATGAATTATATGTGAAGAGAACGTGTCCCTCTCACATTGAAAAAATATTCATTTGGACCCCCCCACCCCCATTTACCATGAAATATTAGTTCACTCAGCGCTGTTTGTATTTCTTTGTGAACGAATCCATTCCACTTGATTAACAGGAGAATACTCAAACAACTAAAAGTCCACTCCAGGTTTTCCTGGTTACCTACAATAACTCACCGCACCACATGCAGTGTTTCCCCGAGGTCACTTGGCCTGACAGGGCGCTCACTCACTTTTAACGTTAAAATGTATAAATGTTGTCTTTGGTGCCTGTCTGTTTTTCAAATATATTACATTGTGTGCAAATGATGGGCATCAACTAAAAACACTTTGTAGAACGATATTTTATGAAGTTCTGTCCATTTCTTTGCATTAAATGACCGGCAGTTCCGCCACATTTAAAATGGCATCGATGTACGATTCAGCGCTCATTGGGGCATCTAGGTATGTATGTCTGTGGAGGAGACACCTCTGTATTGCATACTAGCGTAACGCTACGTTAGTGCTGGCAGTTGTTAACTGGGGTGGGGGATTAGGATGCATGAGAAAAGTAGAACACTACGTCTGTAGCATCTTAGCTAACATGTCTGCATTGGGCGATGCTAACTTAATGCTAAATTAGTGCCTGCATTTGTCGACGGGCGTGAGAGAAGCGGCGCCTACTCTATTCATACAAGGAGAACAGTTGGTCAGGCTATTTCTTGTTGTGCCATGCTCTCTGTAGATGTAAAAGTAGATGCCAAACAACCTGTTGAACTATACCAGAATGCAGGAAATTGCATCGATTTATTAAAACATTTTCTGGGAGAGGACCCCTAGACCGCCCACTAATGTGTACCCCCCACATTAAAAATGCATCTGACACCAATGCAGAGGCCTGCAGCTAAGCTCACTTTGAGGCGCTCAACAGGGAAGACAAGTCTAATTATTGAAGTTGTGAGATTCCTACCTTTTTCCAACTCCACCTTTTCACCTTTCAGTATTAAATTAGTGAGACGTCCTTCATTTGATTAAGAGTCTGATATGAAGCACACTGAAGGCTGCTGGGAAGAACACGTGGCGTGCCAGGAGGGCAAATTTGATCAACTTTTTCTGCTGTTTGCAGTTTCCACAATGAGACGTGTTAAGAACACATCCACTTTCCTGAGTAAAGAACAATGAACGACTTTATTTGAACATGATTCTTTTCACGTTTACTTTCTTCCTCAAATTTCATAGCAGACCAATTTTCTCTTGTTGAGAAAATGTTAATAGGTTCTAGTTCCCAAGAAACAATGCAGGAATCAAAACAGAATCAGTACTTTAGTTGACACACTGTGAAGTTTTTTGACCTGACTAAATGAAGCCGGCTCTTCACAACAGACAGGACTATGTACGTATTAAGATGCTGATATTTCTGACAGTCCATGAAGGTCCTTGGTGAGCGCTGAATGTGTCTTAGGTCGTTTTCACACCAGATAGTCCAGTAGACTCGGTTCGGGACCAATATTCATGACCTTTTGTTTACATTTGAGCTGGTGCGTTTGCATTCACACTGCACTGTGCAGTCGAGTCAACCTGTTGAACCAACCTATTCCCCCGCTCGCCTGTGGGGGCGCTGCACCTAGAACTACTGAAAGAAATGACACAAAAACCTCTGAAGACAAGTCTTCTTCTTCTTCTGTAAATAAAAATAAAAACGAAGTGGCATCAAGTTTTAGCAGTTTTAGGAGTTATATTTTGTCATTTTTCAAAAATGGACTTAGCATGAGCAGAAGATGAGGCAGAAGACCATGGAGAATATTGTTTTTTCACACAAGGCAGCTGACGGCTCCATATAAGGTCAAAGAAATGCGTGTTCGTTCACCCTGCGGAGCGGGGCTCGGTCTGTTTACATTCACACTGTACTCGAACCGCGCTGGAGTTCGCTTCTACCGGACCGTGACCTAGGTTTTAGCCCGAGCCAGAGTTCGCCTTTTTGTTCCGTGACAGAGTTCGATGGCGCGTTCACACCTCTCTAAATGAACCAGACTTTCTAGGAAAACGAGCTAGAGTTCGATTAAAGCGGACTAAACAGGGCTGGTGTGAATGCACCCTCAGTCTGAGGGGGTAGACTCTCAGTCGAAGCCTTGGGAGGCAAGCCAAGAGTAGAAACACAGTAAATATTACACTTTTTATTAATGAACAAGTTTCTGAAATAAACCCCAGTAAAAACATCAGTTTTAAGTCACACCTTGTAAATCTACTGAAAGTTCATTTTTATTTAATTTATTTAGAAATAAATTTCTTATCTTCCTTCCACAGCTAGTGATTTTATATTGTTGACTTCCATTTTGTCATGTCTAATTATAAAACATCAAGGTTCAGAACTTCCTTGACCCATCAAGGCTATTCCTGACACAATCCTCAGCTTTTAGACCCATTTGCAGGCAGGCGAGCAAGGCAGGAGTTAAAGGCTGACGTGGCAGCAAAAAACTTACAAACTGAGATCAGGCAGGTGATCAGGCAGGTAAACAGGACAGATACAGACAGATACTCGGACAGGAACAGAAGAGGACTGAGTCATCTGTGCAGAACAGAACAATGACCGAACGGAGAGTGGAGGAGAAAAGAGCGTTAAATAAGGTAGAGGGAGAGTGAGTAATGAGAGCACCTGGGCAGGTGGCTGATGAGGGACAGGTGTGAATGATAAAGACTGGAGAGGCAGACTGAGGAGGGAGTGGAAACTGACATGAAGCACAGAGTCAGAATACACAAGGAACAGAATGACACTAGAAGCAGAATGAAATAAACACAAAAAGCAGAAAGGGAAGATACAGAAATACAAAGATAGACAAAGGACAGACTGTGTCAATTCCACCTGTTTGGTTGGTCTGGTTAATTACTGTATGTGGCACCGTGTAGTGAGGAGCAGATGTTTACGATGCTGTGAGTTGTGAGGTGAGACCTGCATGGATCAGAGTTGTTCCTCATCATCAGGTATACTAAGGTTTTAAAGAGTCACAATGGAAAAGTACAGCTAAATTACTTGTTGTTTAACTTCTGTTAAATGGGATGCTAGAAGTGGTCAGGGCTTTGCTCTGCACAGAGTTGTGCTCCTTCCCTCCTACTTCTTGCTGCAAGTTGTCAGTTTTACATCCTGGAAATTTGGAAATATTTTGAACCTTACAACAAAAACAGATTGTTATAGTGTGTATAAATGAGGTACAATTTGCAAAACCCTTATGCTGTCATGCAGGTCAGCTGGCTGTGGTGGCCATCTCTAATCAGGTTCAAAAGTTAATCAGTTGTGCATCCTTCGATAAGTTTCAGTGAAATGCATTTTGTGGATCATGAGATGTGCCTAATATTACAGACAAATGCATGTATGGACACAAAAATAAAAACATTATCGCCTGCCTTTTGTGTCTCGACGGTGAGTGATAATAAATGTCTACCTCCAGCGTTGAAAGTTAAGTCATTCAAACAATGGTTTGCTAAAAATACTAATAAGCTGGTTAATTCATTAACTAGCATCAACTTTGCAAAGAGTAAAACAAAAATGGACTTATATATTTCACGTTTTATTTAGAAATTTAAATGTAGCTTGTTTTTTTATGTTTTTCTTTTGATTTTCCATCTAGATCTGTTTAGTAAAAAGTCACAATATATTTTGTTGGTTTTCTAGAACTTTAGCTGAATTTAAAAAAAATGTGTGATTAAATTAGCTATGACCTTCAAAATATCAACAGCCCATAAAAAACATGAATTTAAAATTAATATCAAGGTTGTGTACTTATTTCACTGCAAATGACACATTTAGAGGACAGCTGTAAAACCCAGCTTCAGCAAAGCTTTGTTAATTTGACTCTCCACTCAAGTTCTGCACATAATTACAATTAAACTTGTGAAAATGCTCATCATTAAAATAAATCATTACTAGGAAGAGACTACAAGGGTCCTTTTTACGGATTAAAAAATGAGTTTTTTGTTAAATGCTATCTTTCAAATAAACTTCAAGCTTGGAGGGAATTGCTTGAACTTCACTGACTTCAGAGTTTAAGGATGAGTCTGCAAGTTGATCAGTTTTCTTTTGGATTTAAGCTGCTGAGTCGTGGTTCCTTCATTAAAATCCACCTGGTGCAGTTTTGAATGAGACCTCTGGTGCAGCATGAGTCAGAAACCTGATTTCATCTTTAATTCCCTGACAGTCATCTCCTCAGGACAGCTGGTGCATGCTGCAGCAACTACCTGCCACTGTTAATGTGCTCACTTCATGGAGACACAGGGGGAAATGGCCACAGACAGGTGTATATGAATGTGTGTGTATGTGTGAGTATGCATATTTTTAGTGTACGTGACAAGCAGAGCTAGGAATAGCCCTGGCAGAACATCCCAGACTGCCTACTGTGGTGACAGATGAAGGGCTTGGATGTGGAGTGTATTGAATGGGGAAGCAGCTCCCACCTCCCAGCCACCTGCCATCAGTCACATGTGATCTCAGCCAGAAGCCAGAAGCTTTTTCAACAAGTCAAAAAACTCCGGCTGTGGATTGAAATTGTGTGTTTCTCCTCCGAGGTGGAAGAAGCAGAGACTGCTGAGGCAAACGTCAAGTAGAACAAGTGGTTATGATACCTGAAACTCTGACAAAAATGACTTATTGCACAATTTTATATAAAAAATAATCCTTCCTGTTGTTGACCACCAGTTTGTCACAATGTATTATTGGTAGTACCGCTGCAAAATCAACCACACAGAAATATAAATATCACTTCAAACACAGAACACATCACACGGTCTATTGATTTATGATTACTAATTTTCATTCAACCTTTATTTATACAGGTTAGTCTCATTGAGTCACGA